TCAGAGACTACAGCCCTTCCAGGGGGATAACCAGCAGCAGCTCCTGAGATCCGCGCCATGTTGGAACTGAGGACACTGGGAAGCCAAGCAAGCACCTCCCCTCCCTGGTAAGTGGTGGTGGTCTGGCAGACTGTGGCCCTTCCAGTGGGAGAACCAGCAGCAACTCCTGAGATCCATGCCATGTTGGAACTTAGGACACTGTGAAACCAAACAACCAGCCTGCCTCCCTGCTAAGTAATAGTGAACCTACTGATGCACGGCCTAGAGTCAAATATCCCACTTCCCCTACCCCCTTTTCACCCTCCCACCGCCCATTAGCAAATGGGAACCAGAAACCTGAGCGTCTCCTGGGAGGTTGACCATAGCAAATAAGGGGGACTTCCTTCTACCATCTCTTTGAAGGCAAATATTTTTATTACTGTTTTGCTCTTTTCTGGTTAATGGTACTGCTCTATTCAATATTCTGTTTTGATAAGTTCTATAGTGTTCTATATTTCATCTCAATTTGATATATGTGATTGAAAGAACAACTATTATAAAGATAACAAAATATACTGTGATACATATTACTGTTATCCCGGTAACCTGCTGTGAAGTTCTGTACCAGTTTCACTGTACGATCTTAATTGCCTTTATTCTGTTGTATACTTTCAAAATAAAATTTTTAAAAAAGACTCAGAATAACATTGGCACAAATAAGGTAGTTGATAGCCTCATGACTACAGTGTCATAAAAACCTGAGCCTTCTAGCCACCGTATTGCTGCCAAATAGATGTAAGCAAAGCTATCTTGGACCCTCTACACCAGGCAAGCTGCTACCTAGCAATCCCAATTGATGCTACATTGAGAAGAACCATTCCCACTCACCTTGGTCAATGTTTTGACCTATGAAACTGTGAAATACATGAAATGATAATAATGTTAAATCACTGGATTTTGGAGGGGGGCCAATATGGAGGATTGAATCCTGGGCCTTCCAGCTAAGTTCCATTGCCAAATAACCAACCTTTTTATTTTTCATTTTGAGACAAGGCTTCATTAAGTTGCTCAGGCTGGGCTCAAACTTGCAATTCTCCTGTCTCAGCCTCCCAAGGTGCTAAGATTATAGGCATGTGCCTCAATGTTCTACTAAGTCACTGGATTTTTGTCAATGACAATGAGGGTGACTTTGAATCTTGCCTGCAAATGGAGATAGGATACAGAGCTTTTGTTTCGTTCAGATAAATGTAGGAGACGAAGGAATAATTACAGAAGAGAGAGTACAATACTCCTTTTCTTTTTCTTTCTTTTTTTTTTTTTGAGACACAGACTCACTATATATTTCAAGAAGTCCTTAGACTCAGCCTCCTGAAGGCTGGAATCACAGATATACACCATCACACCCAGCCCAAGACGCTTGTTCTGGATCTTAAGGAATTCAGTGTTACCAGAGGCAAAGATGTACAGAGAGAATTTAGGAACTATTATGAACAACAACCACACCAAGGCACACATGAGGGATACATTTCTCACATCTGCTCCACTGAACACATTCACTTCACTTCTTACAGGTTCTATCACCTCTCAGTATTGCTGTACTTGGGACGACCAAGCTTCCAGCAGATGAATGTGGTAGATTGACAACTGATGGTCAACTTGTAATACCAGCTGAACTGAATCAGTGCAACGCTGAGTGTGGATGACCTACTTGAGGATTGTTGCCAACATAAAAGGGAAAGCTGGAGAGGAAGTAGTAGCTTGTTGGTTCTTGTTGTTGGTTCTCCTATTGCCATTGGTTCTTGTGGGGGAGCTTGCTGAGCTTCTTTCCTGATATGAACTTGGTTATTCTCATCCTCAGAGGTGCTCTGGGCTTTTTTGTCATTGAGAATGGCTGAGGTTCACTTTAGGGGAGCTCTGGTCTTACCTTACCTCTTCCTGGCTTCAGAGGGGAAGATGGTGTGCTATTTAACCTTCAGGAGAAGCTTGTCACACTGGCTTCCTGATATGAACTCAGCCATTCTCATTGGAAGAGCTTAGGGCCCTGTTGTTACTGAGGATGGCCATGGTACCTTGTGGGGAAGCTCTGGTCTTTTGAGCATCACTTCCTGGCTCCAGTGCAGAACACTCAGCCTACTGGCACAGATGCTTATCCACTGAGATAGTCTTTCAAGTTTTCAACACTGACCTTTGGGCCTTCCTAGTGCAGATTCATGAAATAGACTTGCATGAGACATTGTCATAGGCTCTAGGTCTTTAGTTGGACTCATGCAGGACATTGCCATGGATTGAGGCCATCAGCTGGATTCTTTGGGTCTTGGTGTGTATACAGATTTCCTGCACTCTTCCTTATTTGACTTTTTGGGTGACCATTATAAAATAATACTATAAATTACATGTCCTGTATGTGTCGTTTTCCTTGAAATCCCTGACTACAATAAGGACACACTCAAACCATATCCAAAACAAAGCATACATGTGTGTTCTGCAGCCCTTGATGGGGCTAGAGGTCACAGATAAAAGATAGTGCATTTAGGAGGACAAAAGAAGTGGATGCAGTAATTTTGCGCATGAGCTGAAAATGCTTGTGGACACCAAAGCAATTCCATATACTATATAGTCAGGGCTGGGGATATAGTCCAGTGCAGAACACTTGCCTAGCATGTATACAGCCCCGGATTCAATTCTCCAGTACCACAAAACATGGAAGTCAGGCGAGATTCCTGTAATCCCAGCATTTGGAAGGCTGAGGCCAGAGCATCACCACGAGTTTAAGGCCAGCCTGCATTATGAGTTCAAGGGTACCCTAAACTACATAATGAGATCCAAAAACAAAAAATAAAACAAAACAAAAAAATGCATACTACATAATGAATGTCCATGATAATCCGAAGATGTGAAAAGGAGATGTAAATTTGGGAATGATCAGTTAAAGAAACTGACGATGGAAAAGATTGAGTTCACTAAGGAAGCATGAAAAGGTAACTTGGGTCATAGGCCTTGAATGGGTAGGAAAGAAAAAGTATAATAACTCAACTTCCTGACATTGACTTTATGCTGAACCAGAGATTTCCTAGTCTTCCTTTGAAGATGCTGCGCAGCAACTCGATTACAGCTTAATTTTTTCTTCTGCTTCCCAGACTCAATAGCAACAGTCATCTCACCCTTTGTTCACTCTGCTCACCAGACTTCCTGACTGTACAGTCCTCTGCTTTCACACACACACCAAATATTTGCTGAGCAACTGTCTTGTGCCAGGTGCTGAACAAGACCCTGATAATACAAGAGCAACTAACCAACAGCCCTGCCTGAAAACACTTAGATGTCATCTCTGGGGGTGACATTTAACCAAAGACTGGAATGAAGTGTGAAATCTGTGTGAAGAAAAGATGATTAGAAAAGAACGAGGAAGCAAGGTAAGAAGCAGCCAAGTCAGACAAAGTAAGAGTCTGTTTTTCACTTTGTGTAACATGGACTTAGGAAGAGTAGTGAGTAAAGGAGAGACATGATCTGACTGAGATTGGAACATGATCTCTCTGGCTACTGAAGAATGAAGTAAATTGGATAGTAGTGGTGCACACCAAGTCCTGGTTACTTTGGAGGCAGAGGCAGGATTATCGTGAGTTCAAGGCTGGCCTGGACTACACAGCAAGACTTTGTCTTGAATAAATAATATAAATAAAATTAAAGAATAAATGGGGCTGGGGATTTAGCTCAGTGGCATAAGCGCCTGCCTTGCAAGCAGGCAGTTGTGAGTTTGATCCCTAGTACCGATAAAAATGAGAAAGACAAAAAAAAATTTTTTTTAAATTTAAAGAATAAAGTGTGGAAGTGGGGTAAGGGAAGAAGTGGAGGGAACTCTCAGGAAGATTCTTCTGCAACAATCCTAGCAGAGTGTGGCTTCTTCTAGAGCTACAGAAATAGGGATGGTGAAAAATGGTCAGATTTGGGATATTTTGCACAGGTGGGATGGACAAGATTTCCAATCAGGACATACATGAGAGTAAGGGAGAAGTCAAGGATGACACCGAGGCTTTGAGGAGCAGAATAAATGCTATGCCTTACCTCAATGGAGAAACAGTTGCAAGAGAACAAATTTAAAGAGGAAATACAGTGCGGTTTTGGAAATAATTTGAGATGACAATTTGACATTCAATTGAAATGCCTGATAAGGATATGGTTTTTATTAAACTGAAGTTCATAGAACTGACCAAAGATGTAAATACTTGGGATTGGTCAATGTACAATAATATGAAAAGCCATAAGCTTGGATCAGGCTACCTGCAAGTGAAGGATAGAGAAGGCTAAAAATTGAGTCCCAGTTCCTACTGCAAAAGCCTGATGTGTGTGCGCGTCAGGGGAGGGATCCTTGGGTTGATGATCTAAGCAATAACAAGACCTTGAGCACTCTAGGAGGGGCGTGGCTGCCTCAGCAGGCAAATGGCAGTGAGTGTGCATTGGGGATTGAACTCGGCTTTTGCACTGAGCCACAGCCTATCTATCTAAAAAATGACCATTAACTTGCCAGGGAATTTTAAGGGGTTACGTTAACTTTCCAGGTAGAAGGTCTTGCGCTTACAGAGACACTGAGAAGGCAGAAAGATTTTAAATTGAAGCCTGTCCTCGCAATTTAACGAGACCTTATCTCAAAAAAAATTTTGTTTAATATTTTCAAAGGGCTAAAGATGTACCCCAGTGCTAAGCCTCTGGGTTCAACTCCTACTACCACAAGGAAGTAAAAATAAAAAGATACAGGTCACAACAAAAACACACAGCGTGTAGAAATGACACAAGCCACAGATGGGGCCATTAGGAGCGACAATAGCTTCTCCAGTCACCGTCACGTGTTTCCAGGCTTCGAACCATTTCCCCTCTTTCGAAACTCCTTCGAGGCTATAAACCAAACAAATGGCGAAGCCAAGATTAACTCGGTGTAGACTGTCACCTCCCTCGGTTCAAGTCTCGCGAGAGTGCAGTCTCGCCCTCCCAGCATGCCCTGCGCCGCCGCCGCTGCCGCCGCCGCCGCCGCCGCCGCTGCCGCCGCCGCGCCGCGGTTTGAGGGCGGGAGGCTGGGGGAGGGTAGCGGAGCCGGCGACGACGCCATGTTGGGTCTGAGGCGGCTCCTATAGGCGCCGACAGAGCGAGCGAGCGGGCGGGCGGCGCAGCGACAGCGGTGTGGGATCTGCCTCTGCGAGCGGCCCGGAGCGGCGGCGGCGCCATGAGTGGGGGCACGCCTTACATCGGGAGCAAGATCAGCCTCATTTCCAAGGCAGAGATCCGCTACGAAGGCATCCTCTATACCATCGACACCGAGAACTCTACTGTAGCCCTCGCCAAAGGTAAGCCCTGGCGGACTTCGGGGGCGGGCGGCCGGGCCGAGCGCTGCCTGTGAGCTGTGCTGCGCTCCGGCCTCCCCTTTTTCCCTCCCGCGACCTCCAGGAGAGCGCTCCTTCCCTCCCTTCCGGCCCCGGCGTCGCGGGCCCCGCCGCGGCCTCCCCGAGCTCCCTGGTTCTACCCTGAAGGTCCGCGCCTTCAATCCGGGCAACTAGGGGACCGAGTGCGCGGCGGGCGGGGCGGCCTCAAGTCTGAGAACGGCCGGAGAACACCGCGATGCGTGTCTTCCAACTCCGAAATTCGGTGGTTCTTCCGTCTGACCGCCGAACAAAGCCGGAGTAGTCAAAGAATTTTTCCGCCTGTCCTGAGTTTAGTGCTGATTTGCTGACTTTATAGCCCCCATTTTTTTCAAGTTTTTAGTATCAGCTCGCTCCAATTTTCCTTAAGTGAACTGTAAATAATGGACCAAAACTTTGAGTTTTCTTTGCGGTTATGAGATCTCGAAATTCCATTGGTACCGTGAAGCAGATCACACCTCCCTTGTTTCTTCTGTGATAGTTACCTGTTAAACCGGAATGCTTCCCAAAGCCTGTAGTGCAACTATCTTTAGAGTGATATTAAAAACGTTTGCTGCCCCCTTCGCCTTGCCCCCCAGCCCTGTTTCGGGAAACTTGGTCTAGGATTCTTGTTCACAGTTAAAGATCGGAGTGGTCAATGGGCGCCGACCGACTGCTGCAATCTGGGAAAAACTGGATTCTATTGAGGAGGTAACTGTCCTGTCCATAAACATATGTTTACCATCTTCTGTGGGTTTTCTTTCCGTTCACACGTGTTAGGCCTTTACTTTGCCAGGAAATCAGAAAAAAAAAAATCTTAACTCCTGATCTTAAAGGAAATCTGACAACTGTTTGTAATACCCGGGAGGGAGAAATGATAACCTCTTACCGCACTAATTTTCCCAGCCCACCTGGTAGAGTTAACTGCATAGCCTGGTAGGGACAAAAGTTAAAGGATAGAAGGAAAATTTTGTGAATCTAGTTTTTCAGTCGTTGGCTGATGGCATGTTGTTTCATAGTGGCAAACAAGTTTAATGGCATGTTTTTAAGGCTCTGGTAGGCCTTTTGATATCATGGTTGTTGGGACAAATGTTTTACCTAGGTAAGGAATTAAACTGTAAAACTGTGCTGTGTGGGGAATGGAGCTGTGGCCTGGTGGTAGAGCACTCGCTCTACCATCACACTAGGGTATTGGATCCCTAGTATTGTAAAAAAAAAAGCAAAGAGAACTTGCATACTATAAAAGTAGTATTAGAAGTGCGACAGTTGTGATGATAGTTGCACAAGTCTGTAGATTTAGTAAAGATCGTTGACTCATACACTAAAAAGTCACGAAGTCCTTTTAAAAAAGAGTACAAGTGCTATGGCTTCAAACTTGAAAGACTGAAGGAGGATCAGGTGAGCCAAGAGTTCAACGCCAGCCTGGGCAATAGGAAGCCCCTCTCAGAAAATAACAGAAAGAATAGTACAGAAAAATAAGGAGTATCCCAAAACTGCTCTTTGCCTGGTGAAACATTATCTCATGAAGTTGTTAAAACATCTCAGAGTTAGCTCATCTTTTTAGAAACCCACTGTACTTCAAGATACATGATTCTATTTAGTGATTAGTAGAGGCTTGGCCAGTGATGCTTCTTAAATAACTTAGTTTTTGCTTGCCTTTATTTTGAAATTATTTTTACATTAAGTTTCTTTATAGATTAATAGTTAGCTTTGTTTGGGTTTTTATGGCTTTATAGAATTACAGAAAAAGTTGTTCTCTTAAATTCTTGGTGAGAGCTGCATACACTTTGAGAACAATATTTCTTGTTAAAGTGATTTAATAACTTTTTAAAAAAATCGTTTCTCTGAATTTAAAGGTATTTTTGGCAGCTTAGTTACTTATTAGGGAATTGGGTGTATTGTCTTCACTGCTCATAAAGAAAAATAATCGGAGGGTCTGGGGATTAGGCTTAGCAGCAAAAGCATCTGCTTTGCAAGTTTGTGATGTTCCATCCTCAGTACCAAAAAAAAGAAAGAAAAGAAAAGAAAAATATTCGGTAACATTTTTAAGATTTGTAAGGTCTTAATTTTAGTCTTTTTTTTTTTTAAAGGTCTCATAGGACCATATCCTTTTATACCTGAAAAGCTATATTCATATTCATGGCATCAATTAAATTCATCCGACATAAAATATAATTTGTTCCTGTGTCATAACAATCATGTAAATAAAACAATAAAAAATTTTAATCATTTAATTTGTATTTACAATGTTGACATTTAATCCATACATCAATATGAGTTAATGTATAAGGGGTTTTTAGAATTTAATCATGCTTGGAAAAACAGAAGTGGCCAGGGGGTTTTTGTGTGTGTGTTTACTTGTTGGTTTGTTTGTTTGTTTTGCAGTAGAGATTAAACCAAGGCTTTCTGCAAAGCTACATCCCCGGCCCTTTTTTTAAGTTTTTAGACAGATCATACTAACTCATCAAATTACCCAGGCTAGGCTCAAAACTTTCAATCCTCCTGCCTCCTGCCTCAGAATGCTTGTGCTACCATGCTGGGTATCAAATCTTAATACATTACTTGACAGTATTAGCTAATCTAAAACTACTTTATAACTGCCCACTCAATAAAATTAGAAGTGGGAAGTTTGGGCTGGGGATTTAGCTCAATGGCATAAGCACCTGCCTGGCAGGTACGAAGTCATGAATTGGTTCCCTGGTACCCAGAAAAAAGCAGACAAGACTGAGAAGTGGGAAGTTTTATTCTGACAATTTTAGAATTTCCATGACTTGTTGAGTAATTTGGTATCAGGTAATTCTGCCTTTTAAAAATTAGGAGCCAGAAGTGTATTGTTTGATTGATTTTGCAAGGTTAAAGTCAGTGGTTTGAGCAACTATTCAGAGGATAACAATATGCAATATAGTAACTATTGCAGATTTCCTTCTATCTTAGGGCTATTTTGTTTCGTTTTCTGTTTTATTCCCTTTAAAATGAAATTTTAAAAAATTCAAAAATAGAATAGAAATTTGGAGTCGGGCATGGTAGTACACACCTGTAACCCCAGCCCTCGGGAAGTTGAGGCAGAAGGATGTTCATGAGTTTGAGGCCAACCTGGGCTACACAGTGAGTTCAGTGCCAGCCTAGACTATGAGACTGTTTCAGATACCTACCACCCAAGGGGAAAAAATTGGTTTTGGGTGAAAAGTGGTAGACTCACAGCTGAAAGTTGAAAGTTTATTCATGGAATTTAGTTATACAGATGTGGAGATCTCTTACTCTTTTAAAACTTTGAAGTACAAGTTAATATTTTTCAATAACATTCCTAGAATTATTTTTAGATTTTTTTTTAATCTCTAGGGAGAGTTTTTTCCTTTTTTATTGTGAAATAACAACCACCCATGCTAAGAAGATATGTAATATACGAATGAAATATTCTTACAACATTATGCAGGCCAAGTTAGACATTGATTGTAGCATGCCAGAGGCCTTCTGCTTCTTGTGTCTTCCCATCTCTTACCATCTTAGTCTAGATACAGTATTTTGATGTTTATTGTTTTACTGTGTAACTGTATAGCCCAAAATAGTTTCACTCATTTTTGAGCTTTGTATAAATGGAATTGCCTTCTGTATGTTTTCTTTTGAGCTTTTGTTATATAATATTCATGAATATAAAACACTGATTTTTTTTTCTGCAGTTTTCAATATTTCACAGTTGATGTTTAGGTTGTTTACAGTTTTGACTATTATGAACAATGATTTTATGAACTTTTGTTTTTAAATACACCAATGAATGCTTACATAGTTTTACCAGGGGTGTATACTTAGAATTTAAATTGTAGGAACATAGAGAATGTGTTAAATAATGCTATGCAGTTTCCATTGTAGTGGTTTACTAGTTTTTACTTCACTTACTAGTATATGTGAATTCTAATTGTTCTATATCCCTTGCAACTAATAATATTTGGTATCATATATTCTCATTCTTGACTGTTTGGTGAGCATATGATGGCTTTTATCTCCATTTACCTGGCTACTAATGAGAGTGAATGTCTTTTCATGTCTTGGCCATTTGGATTTCATCTATGAAGTGCCTTCAGAACTTAAAATATGAATTATTAGTTTGGTATATGTTTTGCCATTTAATGAATTCTTAAGATAAATGGACAGTCTTCATTTTAGTGTAGATGTGTTTAATTAGGCCTCTGTTTTATAGCTAATGGCGAGTATTTTTTTTTTTTGCTGTACCTCAGCATCATAGAAGTGCTTGGGTTTTTTTTTTCCCCTCTTTCACGTTTATGTCTACATTGTATTCAAAACTAATTTTGTGTATGAGTTATTTAAATCTTTTTAGTAAAGGATTTACTAGGCTTAAGTGTTTCATATTATAATTTAGTCCTTTTGCTTGAATATTATACTATATTTTAAATATATTTAGAACTATAGACTACTCGTGAAATTTTTGGCTGTTTGGTGTGGTATAGAATTGAGATTATGTGTTCTAGGAGGTTTGTCCTAGGAAAAAGTCGTCATTCGTGCTTTTTCTAGCACAATTATTTAAAATATCTCTTTTCTCTCTTGAAAATGTTCAGGTCTGGTTAAATAATTGTGTGGTTACACAATATGAAATCAAAAGCCTAATCACAGGTACTGCTAAGTGGATGGTGCCCTTTATATTCTAGAGATATTACAGACTAGCTCTAGTTGTAAAAATGAAGCTTAGGTAAGCTCAGTGGGCTTTGATCCTAGGAACTTAGTAAGTAAATGTCAAGAAGTCTTAAAGGCAATCTGGGAGAACACAGATGTCGGTCTGATTGTTATGTTTATGGATAATCTGGGGCACAGTTTATTTCTGGTTTGTTTCAATGTAGTAATCTTGTTCACAGTTCTGAATTTTCCTTCCTAGCATTGATCATGACCTACACTAACCATCTTTATTTGCAGGTTTTTTGTTTGCATTCACCTTTTTT